GGAATTCAGGCCAGCTTCAACCTGCACACCACGTTCCTCTCCCAGCAGTGTGGGGCTCGACAGCTCAGCGCCCTCCTGGGCACACAGTGATCCATGCACCTCCTCAAAATGGATGAGGCCTCGACTTCTTCCAGAAACCAGAGAAACCCATCCTGCCTATTCCACCTCACCGTTTGTAGGCAACTTAGCATTTTACTCCAAGTGAGCAGAATCTTCAAACTCACCTTCATCACAACGTGCATGTCAAAAAAGCACATCATGCTTTGCTAAGGTGGCATTTGCAAAAAGAGCAAGCAAACATGCTGCTCATTTCTGACTCCCAAACTGAAAGTTATCCCCTAGGAAAACACACTGCAGTTGCAACCATGGGTTAATGTCCCAGTGCTGAGTCCAAACTAGAAGTTGGTAGAGCAGGATCTCAATTACTTTCTTGTTCTACGTGTCTACAGCAGTAAGGATCTAATGGTGTGACATTATCACTACCCAGCAAAGTACTGAAACTGCATCCCTGCAACGAGATACACAGCTTTAGACTCACCCAGCAATGGCCCAGCAGCCACAGCCCCTGCAGCTGTACAGAATTTGATTAAACATGGCTTTTTACCTGAACCTGAACCCTCAGCCTTGAGTTCTGGTTTTACTTCCCCCATTGCTGTAGACTTTCCAAGATGGTCTGCATCAGGATTTTCAACCTCCCTCCTCCTTTTTTTCACCACTAAAATACTCTCATTAATACATCTACTTACTAGGACGCTTCTGAGGAAATCAACCAATTCATATGACTAAAGCATTTTAAATAATAAATGATTTTATTTCAGAAAAAAAAAATTAATTCTACTTCAAATTTAACCAATAAAACTGCTGCCTAGGAAGGAACCTTCTCTGCACAGAAGGCAGTATACAGCATACGCTAAAAACACAGTGTTAAGATTTTTAATCTTTTTTTTAATTAGGTTTTAATAAACCAAAAATGTTAACTTGGTACAATCTGAAGCAACAAAGCCCTTAAGGAAAATTGTCTTTAATATTAATGATGGTTTTCACCATTAATCAAGACAAAAGAATGCTTTAATTAAGGGACATCAGAGAAATCCCTTATTACTGAGCAGTACCATCAGCTCCTAGTGAAGCTAATGAGAATTCTTCTGAATGTCAAGGCTCACACTCCCATGCTCAGATGTTGAGGTACTGCCTTTATCTTCACTTGCTACTCAGCTTCTCTTTGCCAAGTGAGTGACTTCTGTAAACCACTGACAAACACAGGTGGCCAGAAGGTGTTGCACAACTGTCAGCTTTTGTTCCTGGCACAGCATCAGCACGCAGGGGTTACTTTACAGCAGACACAGCTACACTGGTGCTCACAAGTGATTCAGATCCAGCTCTTTTAATGACCCAAATTTCCTCTGGCGTGCAGAAATCTCATGGCTGCTGTGTGAACAACAGGAGTGGTCGCTCCCAGGTGCCAGTGTGCAAGGGAAGAAGTCAAGCAGGCTCAAGAGCCAGAGTGGCTGCCCCACACAGGAGCAGCTACTGGACAGCAGCCCGTGCAGGAAGGCTGCAGGATTCCCAAAGCACAGACCTGTGGGTCCTCCTCTCTGGGTCAGCTCATTCTTCCCCTTCAATCCCAAAACCCAAATAAAAAGGAAAGGAAAAAGTATAAATTGTGACAACTCTACAGGGCAGTTTCACCTCTAGTAAGGCCCAACAGGAGTTGGAATACAGTCATCTTGGTTGGACTGAGCCCAGGAGCTCTAGAACATTGTGCAGCTACAGAATGACAAGCTGCTGGAGGGAGGATGACAGAGTAAAGAACAAAAAAAAAATTACTTCTTGCATCAATTTTTTTTTAAACTAAAAAGTGATGAAGCAAGTGTACTGAGGGAGGATGACAGAGTAAAGAACAAAAAAAAAATTACTTCTTGCATCAATTTTTTTTTAAACTAGTGATGAAGAAAGTGTACTTGTCTGCTTTGGGACTCACATTTTTGAATGAGCCAGAAAGGTTCACTCTTTGCAGAGTGCCTTGCACAGAAAGGCTCCAGTCTACAGCTCCTCTATGGTAACACAGAAAGCAGGTGAGCATTTCAGGTGTGTACACCCAGTCTTCCCTGAATTTCAAGCAAGTCATCCCGTGGATGATTAATGTGAGGGCAGATGATAAATGTCTACTTGTCACTCTTGCTGCATTCTTATCACTACAAGAAGCTCTGGTCTTGGAGCAGTTTCTTTGGCAAGAGAAATGCCCAGTTTCAATAGCTGTTGTGTTGAAACCACGTGGCACATTGTTATTCAAGATGTGATGTTCTTCCTGGACAGTTCCCCAGAGACCCAGGACACAGGTGAAAAGCAGGTTGCTACACATGGTTACTCCACTGATGCTCTTATTCTTAACTCCAGACTGTATCACTAGTCTTGTAATATTGGCTGCAGCTCCTAAAACTACAGCTAAAATTCCCCAATACTACACACACACACACACTTCTCTTATGACACAGTTAAGTTTCATTCAAGTTGAGATTAAAGACAGTACAAGAGAGAGGAGGGAGGTCCAAGGAGTGAATTTAGAGAGCATAAAACCTTAGTTAAAAGAGCAAAGAAGCTGACTTTATTCTCTAGCCTCTCTTGGGTAGTCCTTGTAAATGCACTATCTTTAGGCTGTTAATTTCAGGTATGAACTAGACTAAATTCTTAAAAGAGAGAAAAAAGACCCTAGCTTTGAATGTATTTAGATAATACTAATAAAAAATGTCTAAGATCAACTGAACAGAAGCCTACAACAAGTAACCTGCCATGGGAAATCTGCCTCTGGCATTTAGGGCCCTTGTCTCACAACGGCAACAGAAGGAAAGCACTTCAGTGCCTTTTAATTTCAACTTCAGAAACACAGCTGGTCAGTCAAGGAATGAGCTCAGGGTTTGTCCTGAGGAGGAAGCTGACTTACTTCGTTATGCTCCAAGCACCCAATCATCAGTTCTGTCAGGATGACCACTCCAGTCCTGCCCACCCCTGCGCTGCAGTGCACCACGATGGGGGGGTTGCAGCTGTTGCTGCTGTCCAGCACGCTGTTGGTGTGGCGGCGCACCGACTGGATCTCCTCCAGGTAAGCTGCAAGAGAAAAAAAAAGATCATGGAAAAGCCATTCTTTGTCCAAAGGGCAATAATTCACATTTTTTACAACACAGTAATTGTTTTGGCCAGGGTGTGCTGAACAGTGCTGAATCCAGCAAGTACCAGCTGGGTGTCAATTATGACTTGGGAGTCTGCTCCTTTAAATTAAACAGTTCTTTTAAAAAATTAAATTCTGTTCTCCCCTCTGCAAATCTCCAGGTCCCCTAAGCAGATGATTCTAGACATTACTTACAGCAATTCCTGCTATTAGCAGGCTGGGATCAAAACAACAGTGAATTCCCATTGAAACTACTGCCTGTCAAAGCCAGTATCAGATGGGAAGCAAGCATCCATCTGCCCTGTTTCCCCCTCCCTCTCTTCTCTTTTGAAGTGAGACAATGTCCCCCACCTCTCTGTTCAGGGTTGGTTTCTCAACAGCTACGAGCCCTTCTGGGAGCTCAGTGTCTTTGTTTTCCCTGAAGCCATTTCTAGAAAGTGCATGACTCAAGAACCTTTGTCTTGGGTGGCTCTCCTGGTGTTGGTCAATGCATTCTACTGCCAAACTGCACTGAGAGCCTGGTTAGATAAACATACCACGTAAGCTACAGCTTTGACTTTTAAACGTTGTTCCAGCACAGTCCAGATGCATGATAAAGAAAGATATACCACCCAGACAGATATATCCAGATGCAGAGCTCTTAAAACACTTAACTTCCCACCAGTCCAAGTGGGACGTGCGACTGGAGCCAAACTCTCCTGCTCTGACTCTGTGTCGTGGCACTGCAGCCTGAGCAGTCCTTTCAACACAAACAGCCTGTGGCTGGAGACCTACCAGCCTCAGAAGAGCTGCATTTTAATGCACACAGTGAAAGAGGGCTGTACGTGGTGGCAAACAATGGGACAGAGGAAATGGGGAAAATCAGGTTCCAATTAGTGCCATGCCCAACTGCAGCTACACAGGGGTTGGTAGGAAAAACAAAGTATGAAACAAAGGAGGAATTAGGCAATGGCTTTGACTTAAAACCAGACCCACAGCACTCCTTTGCCAAAGCTGAAATGTCATTTTTATTTTCTACCCTGGTGACAGAAAGAGGGAAAGGAGGACACATTATTTACATCTAGCTTACACCAGACAAAGGAGAGTGGATGACTCAAGGACTGTAGCTGCAGCAGGTCTGAAATGGAACCCATGGACCCTGCTGAGAGAGGACTTGGATGCAACAGAGCTACACTGCTGCAGCAACAAAGCTTTCAGGAACTAAAAGGGCAGGCACCTCCAACACATCTACACCAGGTACTGACTCCTTCCTTCAGTGGTGACAAAGATCTCTGCATCATGCTCTACTGTAGCACCAGAGGTGTGGCTTCAGTGAAATAATGGTTGAATTCCTGTTACTTCATATGGTAGCACCTATTACTTGGTAAGAAGTAGGAAGCGTTATTACCTCATTACAGATGAATATAATGGCTGTATTTTCAGAAATGCATGAACCAGGCCCATATTTAATTGGGAAGCCCTGAGCATTGCCTGGGTACATGTGGTTAGAGAGTGGTGCTGAGCTGCTGTACATGTGATGGAGCCCTCTGCTCTTGCAACAAGTCCAGTGCCTCTGGACTACTAAACACTATGCTGGCTGTCAGCAGTACAGGCCTCCTGTGAAAGTGGAGGAGTTGTGCCATATTTCACTAACATTTGGACCTCTCTCACCACATTTGTGTGCAGTCTAGTATCTCCTACACTCATTAGGGGGCTGGGAAGTGGCAATAACTTATACTGACAGATCAACAGCAGAGCTATCCTATTATTTAAAATTTCCCGAGTCTTTAGCACTGCTGCTGTCTCTGATTTTAACTTCTGTTATGTCACATCCTTCAGGACCAAAACCCTCAATCACCTTAACTCCTGCCTCTTGAATCCCACTTTTTCCTCTAAATCTCAAAGTACAACCTACTTGAGGCCTTTGTATGCCACAGCAGTAACCACTTCATATCCACCCCAGCTGCAACTAGGTGCAGGGAACAGAATCCCGCACAAGCAACCTTTACCTTGATGTATTTTATCATGCAAGTTAAAGAAATCTTACATAAAAAGCCTTGGACTTCTTCTGGACAACCATGGTCTGGCCAGTCAGTATACTGCAAATGCCACACTGTCCTCTCCTGCCCAGAGAGAAGATGCTTGACCTTCAGACCAGTAGTTGCATAGCAGCCGGAGTCTGTGCGGAACTTGGTGGTCACCTTGAACTTCCCGTAAGTGGCTGAGCTGTGCTTGGAGCCCAGTTTAGGCCAATAACGATGACTCTTACTTCTTCCTCCCTCCTTAATAAGAGAGCAACAACAAAAGAAAAGCCATTAGGCCCTTTAATTATTCTGTACAAGCACAGATAAGCCATGTATTCTTATCGCAAATTACTGGAAGAGCAAGGAGCATCCCACAAAGTAAATAAAGCATCCATTAAAACTTAAAATTCTCAGCTATCTAACATTTCCAAGTATAAAAATGCCTGAAGAAATAACTCTTCTGGTGAAAGTCAGTTACTGCTTACAAAACCTTGCTAAACAGTCTCCTTTTGGCAAAACTTCTCCTTGAAATGGAAGGAGGGTCTCTTCAGCAGTTTCTAAGTATCTGTTGTTGATCAGCCTTGGGAACGGGACAGTGACTTGATGTGTTATGTTTGCTAAAAAGCAACCAGGCATAAAGTTGACTGCAGTGTTGGTTAGCAACGTGTGCCAGTTTTTATAACATCACACATAGTTCTTGGATTACAATAGAAATAACTGTTTTGTTTGGCATAAGAATAAAAAGATTGCTCTTCCCCCTGCTCCCCCCTTTAAATGGACACTTGTACGGAAACGACAGCTTCTGGTCTCTTTTCAGGTGATAAGAGTGATGGTATGCAGAACTGGCCTTGGACAGGGTAGGAGTCTGTGTCATTTTAACCAGGAGCAGCTCAGCACTCTCACATTCCAATGGAAACATCTTTGTTTGGTTTGGCTGAAGTGAGGCAGGGAGAAGGGGGGAGTTCTGCTCCTTTGGCTTTAGTGTTTGCCAAACTGAGTATCAGAAAGTTACAAAGTATAGTATTATAGCAGTACAGGCATATGTTCAAACACAGTCAGAGGAAAAAGGGTTGTTGACAGAAAAAACAGGTTCCTGGAGTGGGAAGTGATGATACCAGGAGATTTGCTCCCACCAGAAAGAACTGCATTCTGTGATTTTACATACCTCTTCAGCTGTGACCATGGCTATGACATTCACCCCCTGTTCCCACACCATCTGCCAGAAATCATGGCACGTGTGTGGCAGAGGCCCTTGGGTAGCAATGTAGTGCCACTCCTCTCCACCTACAGTAACCTGGGAGTAAGAAGAAAAGGGAAAAACCACAGTCATTGTCCAAATTTTCAGCAGCCTCTCTGCCAGAACTGTCTTTTAAACAAAAGAGACCGTAATGAAACCTTTACTTCTTTGTTCTTCCACTTTTGTTCAAAATTTTGAACAAAAATCCTCCTTTTGATAAGAGCAAATCTCACAAAACACAGTCTTTGGTGCTTCCAAGTCCTTTCTTGATGCCTGTAAATATAAAGCTTTGACCAAAATGTCATCTGTTTTTCTTGCCATTTCATCTGGATAGTACAGATGAAAAAAAAAATAATTATTTTTTTTGAGGCCTTGTTTCTGATATGGCTCAAGTACAGATAAGCAGCTGACTGACTTCCCTGGGCTTGGTGACAGACCCAAGATGAAAGAAAAACTGAGCACCAGAGGAAATGTTTATATGCATTAAAGAGACATTGCATTGCTGCAATTTAACACACAGTCGTGTAAAAAGCCTGAATGCAAAGGACATTTTGCACAAAGAAAGCTAAAGGCCACTGCTCTTCAGGACGTCCCTCAATCATTTCCCATGCAGACAAGAAATAATTTCTTAAGCAGATTCTTACTACACTGATCAGTACTGAAGATGTGGCCAAGCTGTCCCCAGAGGAGGCAGTTATGACCACACACTATCCTTAACACAGAGCTCAGACAGGCCTGTTGCCAGCTAGTGATGAGATCAAGACAGGCTTCATTTCAAGTTATTCTTCCTCACTCAGCTTGGGTTTTTCAGTTCAGAAGCTGCAAACTACTATAAAGCAAATCCAGCCTGTTAAATGGCTTTCAAATGGCATGTGAAATTTAAAATTATCTAAAGCTGTAGTCACATAAATCTATTTCCCAATATATAACTGGATTACTGACTGCTTCTTACATAAATATTTGTGTATGTGCATGACAAGACACAATGAAATTATTTTTAAAGCCCTAACACATAGATTTACACATTATATATTAATGTAGTGCCCTGAACAGACCGAGCATCACCTTGGAATTAACCAGTGTAAAGCACTGCTTCATTTACCTAAGGCAGATCTTCATACTTATGCAGTTTAAAAAAAAAGAAAAGGCAAATCACTTGTGTACAAAAAATAATTATTTTGTGACTGATTATTTGCTATATATCATGAAAGGCTTATAAATATTTTTTTCCCACATTTTAGTTAAAAAGCCAAACCCCTTTCAGAGATATTAGGTATCACTTGAAAATATGCTTACCAGCAAAATGGAAAAACAGATGAACTATTTATTTTGGAAAGTTAAAATAAGTTTCCTTTTCAGGCTAAAACCTCCTAATTCTACATATTAGCCCAGAGCCACTTCTCAAAACAAAATTATAAATCCCAGAGAAGATGATTTAGAACAGAAATACTGGCACCTCCATAAATACCGTGTCGCTGGCGGACGACACTGAGGAGCAATCAGTAACTCTGACAGGTTCAGTCATATCCTGTGTTTGAGGTACAGGTCTTTGAACACATTTTCAGGAATAGCATCAGTTTATTTGTTACTCAAACAGCTGAGATGCTTGGGTTTTCACACCTGTAACCAGCAAAGGGTTTGATAAATGTTTCACTGCATTGAAAACTTTTCAACGCCGTCCATCAGCTCATTTTCTTATTTCATACTGTGCAGTATGCTGCTGCTTTATCAAGGGTTCAAATCTGCAAGACCAATGCAAGGCAGACTCCTCAAGTTCTTGTACTGGGTAGAAATGAATACAAACTTGCTCTGGGACTGGTCTTGAGCTTGCACACTCATCTGCAGCCGTGAGTGCTGCTATAGTATTACTGAGATTTTTAACTTCATACTGGCCTGACCCAAACAGTTGGATGAAGCATTTTGAAGACATTTTTTACTTGAGCCATAAATTTAATTATGACTTTTTTTTTCTCTGCTATAGATAACAATATTTGTATCTTATCAGCAAAGGTCAATGAGAAATGCTGTAAAACTGTGGGGCTTGCAGACTGAGCGCTGGAATCCTCTAGGCATGGGTCTTATCAGGATGAGAGAGGAGTTTTCCTTGTCTACTGACTTCTGCTCCAAGCATCCAGCCTCCTGGTCCATGATATGAAAGGACTGTAAATAGTCTGGAGGGAAGGAGATGCCTGGAACGTTAACTGCCTCCTAATGCCTGAGCTGCAGGGTGTTAAAAATTGGATGTTGGGCTGCAAACACACACACACTGTGCTAACTGAGGTAAATCTCACAGATGTGATTCCACCTCCTAAGCAAGAGCACATCTGCTTGGCTTCTGTGTGTGCCACTCTGAGCAGGAGGGGAAAACTCTGGCAAGGACCCCTGTCATGTGCCAGAGCATCTGCCTGTGTGCCTGGGTGCTCTGTGAATGTGAGATGTGTGCATGCCCAACACTGACACACAAGGTAAAATGTGGACTCAAAACTAGCCAGGGAAAATGATTTTCTGGCTAGTGCTGCTTTGTGGGCATAATTTATGTTAGGTATCTTTTCTTTTTTTTTTTTTTTCTGGCCTCCTGCAAAATAGATTAAAAATTTCAGGCTCAGAAATCCATCATCATAGCAACGTCTGATTATGCAAACACTCAGTATCTGCTACCTACCAGGCTATGCAGAAAAGCAATAAACTGCCAGGATCCCATTTCAGAGACTGTTTTGAATCAACAGGATTTAACATTGTAAATCACAACCAAGGAGGCAAGCAAGCCTCTTTAAAATGCTTAAAAGGCTCTTACTCCAGGAAAATATTAATTTAACAGGATGTTTTATTTATTATTTTTGAGTTATATCTTTTTAATTTGGATTTTGACAATGAGGAAAAGCAGACAGCCCTCTGACAACAAGAGAATCTATCATCTGAGGGAGAGGAGTGCTCTTAGCTCTCTCAGGGTAAAGTAAAAGCCAACAAAGGACTCTAAATAGTACTGGAAGCTTAGTGAAAAACAAACATCTACAGCCACTGCAGGAGAGTTTGCTGTTAAAACTGGGCACTTTTGTAACAGTCAGATCATAAATTACTTCTACATTGAATTAACAAGAAATCTGAAGTTTCTTGACAAAACCAACTTGAAACACAGAAGTTCAGTGTAGTTTTAATCAGAGACACAGGGATCTCATTAGTAAGGTGTTCTCTTTATCAATGCATACTTTAAAAAACTCTTTTAAAATCACTCAACTCTCATCCTAGAAAGAAGAAACATTGCAATTATATATACAAATAATGTACCTATGTGAACTACGTACTTTTTCTTTGGCCATAGAACTGCACACGTGGATTTTACATTTAAAAATCTCTGATTTTGAAACATAGTATCCTATATGCTAGTAAATGGATTTTCCATTTACAAATCCCTGATTTTGAAACATAGTATCCTATATGCTAGTAAATGGATTTTCCATTTACAAATCCCTGATTTTGAAACATAGTATCCTATATGCTAGTAAATAGAAAAAATATTTTGGTCAAACCTTGTGCAGTGTTTCTTTCAGGCTGCACCAACCAGTTGAGGGGACTCGCTCTGTGTGGGTTGTTGTAGTAACCCAGAGGCCTACAAGGCTATTTGGACTGATAAATCAGAACATGTACCTGACTGCTCATTCTTCCAGGTCCGGGGTCATGGCAAGTGTACCACATTGCAGGTACTGGGGCTGATCTAACACATTTTCATGAGCTTTAAGAAATGTAGCATCTCTTTCTGTATTAATAAGAGTCATTCCACAACCAGTTGGTAGAAGAGAGCATAATAATCATAAAAAAAAGATGTCTCTCCAAAATGACTTCCCAGCCTCCAGCAATTAAATCAACTCATGCACATTAGTTGATAGGGGACTTCAGAGAGGCCCATGCTGACACAGAAGCTCCAGATATACAGAACACGCCGCTGTGCACCCAGGAATGCACAAAGCTTTAACACACCTTCACTAGCCAAGCAAAGTTTAAAAAAAAAAAGGTACAGCTTTTACCTTTATGTGTGAAGCATTGATGTAGCCTGTGTTATTCTCTTTGGTGGGCACCAGTTCCACTCGGTTCTCCTCGTAAGGAACGACCTCCCTGATGCGGTTGCGCTCCGTGTTCTCGGGCAAGGCAGCAGTGGTGAAGATCCCATCTGCCTTTTTCTTTGGAATCTGCTCGTATTCTGTAAACACCATCCCCTCTTCCAACTTCCTCTTCAGGATTTTGCACTAAGATTTAACCGAAAGGAACAGCAATCTGTTAACTCTTCCTGGAAGAATGTTCACCACTAGGCTCACTACATCCTCTTTGAGTTTCAATATAAAGCCACAGCATCCTCTCACTCCTTTTTTTTCAGTTGCAGTTATCTGAGGAAACACAACACACTCTGAATGAAACCACAAGCAGATTTCTACATTCTGCCTCCACGTTTTTGAAGACTGATACCATAAAAAGCAAAACCATTCTGAACACAATCCTGGTTCAATATGAATTTGTATGAGATTTCACCACAACAGATACTTGTAAAATGATTTAAAATTTATCTTTTTAGGAAGAAGGTCGCACTGTGAGAAGTGTGATGGGCTCCACATTTTCAAAACACTCCCTAACTTGCAGGTAAGCAATTTCTGTGGCTGAGCACAACTCCACATATGCATGGGCAGAGGTTAGGTTTTGTCATCTGTGTACCAGACAACACAAGGCTGCAAACTTCTATCCAGAAACACAGAAAGTCTCTTTGCAAATGTCTCTCAGCTCTTAATGGCACCAACCGTTTTTAACTTCTGAAATTCCATATCCATGGCACACACCCACATGTGCAAAGATCAGGAGGCAACCAACTTTTTTTATTTTTCTTTTAAAAATGTAATCTCCTTAGAGACACTAGCTGAACTCCTTAGTTGTATCAGAACATGCAGGATGGTACCTATGGATGATCACTGTGGAAAGACTGACCAAGTGAAAAATGTGCAAAATATTAGGATTTACAGCTTGATCTTGTATGACATTCTATGGTCACGTGAAAGGGTGAACAGCCTCAATTTTCACTAACTTTTTTTTAAAGACATTTAACATCTCGCCAGCATCCAAAGACACATCAATATTAACCACAGACCTTTTCCATTAATGGCTCTGAAAACTTTTAAAATAATTCTTTTTTTCACGTTTTAAATAAAATTTTAATGTTTTAGAAACTTCATACTGCTGGGAAGAAACAGAAAAAGCAACATTTCATAAGCCTCCATCTTACCCTCTCATCCATTGGCACCTTGGAGACTTCATCCTGGCTGTCCTCCGGCACTGGAACCCTAGCAACTGAGAGTCCGTTCAGTGCTGCCAACATCAAGGGCCTCTTCTGGGCCTCCAGGCCTGCCATCTTCTGCTTTTCTAGATTCTTTTGGCAAGAAAAGGCACGTTTTCATCTCTGTGTGATTATTTATAATGCCAGTAAAATGCTGGAATGTTTTTTTAATCTCCAAAATCTGCAACTCTCTGGCCAAGGAATGCAGATGATCACCATTAGCATCGTAAATTCAAACCAACCTCTATTCTTCCTGTTATTCCTCAAAGGCCTGCTCCTACATGAGCACAGAATTTTAATTTCAAAGAAGCAATCCCAGTGTATAACCCAGTTTACATGCCATCAGAAGACATACAAACACAATCTCAAGCATTCTTCTGCAAACATTATTCTGAATGCAGGACACACAAAGCATCACCCTGTCATGTTAAAGCAGCACTACAGTAGCCAAGATACCTGGGGCACCTTTTAAAGAGCAATAATTTCAATCTGTTGCCACAAACAGCAAAACACAGGCCATGGTTTCTCTTCTGTGATGGAAATACTTAAAATGAGAAGAATTCTGATGCACTGGGCTATTATGGTGATTCAAATAGCACCCATGATATATTTTGCACTAAAAACTGAGCTCACTTATCCCAGAAACCAAATGCAAGAGCAGCCAAGGAGGGATGTTGTTTATGGTGTTTATGCATCATATTACACTGTGGCATGGAGGACTAGAGTGTGAGTTTTAAACCCACCCTGCTGCCCTCCTTATACCACCGGAACAGAAACGTCAAAAAAAGAAGGCAGACCATCTCCAGAGGTACCCAAATTAGGAATATTTTATTCCATTTCCTGAACAGTTCTTTCTGGCTGGGTTTGGAAGGAGGGGTGAGCACAAGGGAAGCCTGGTGCTCAGCATGCCTATGGAAGCTGTGGTCACCACACAGGCCAAGCTGAGCTCCTAGAAACACCGCTGAACCTGAACGCCCTCGGGTGTATGTAACTGGCTTGATTTTTTCAAAAGCATGTGAGCTTTTTCCTCACCACTGGGCTCCTCCAAAACACTAAGTAAGAAAGAAAGGAAGCAAAATAAAAATCCAAACCTACTCTCCTTTCTTTTTGTACTTTCAGAAAGTGGGAAGATGCAAGTATTTATTCTTTGTTCAGGGATTTTATTGTTATTACTACTTGCAAGGGAAAATAGAAAACTGTGTTTAAAAGATCAAGGTCATCAAATTACCATTAATATAATGTGATTCCTATGACAAAAGGAATGTGTTAATGCACATGTTAAGAATGCTGATTGAGGCTGAAAACATCTTAAAAACTTATTGCTAAGACTACCCTTTTACTTTCAAAACAACAACAAAAAAGCACCTTTTGACCAAAGGCTGATTGGAATGATTATTCAGAGGAAGAGTGCTCAACACCTCTAAGCTCTTGTTCTCACCTTCATTTCCATCCTAAAATCCTTTGAGTTCCTGCTTCTCAGTAGGTTTTCTTTCTTCAGAAGATCAAAAGAGCATGTATATGCTTGTTGTTACACCAATGTCTACAGCATTTGTTCATGAAAGATGGTGTTTTATAGTCAAATACCTATTTTACATTTAAAGTTTAAGATCCTGCAAGGAGTAAATTCAGTATCTATGACAGAACTTAGTGGCTCCAGTTTGGTTCCTAACCATTACATCCACATAGGAATCCCTAACGAACAAGAAGCACTATATGTATATTTAGAAGATGTCTTTGAATATACTGTAGTATTTAATCAGTGATTAAATACTGATTTTTAATCAGTAGTCAGGGCACACACTTTGCTTCCTGCGACTGCAGCTGCACTCCTCAGAGCATTACACCAAGCAAATATGTAAGTCACTAAATGATCAACAGCCCTCCTATCTCTGCCATTTCTTGCAGGGGCTCAGAAGCCTTTAAATACTTTTTATTTTAAATTCACTGCAAGTTTAAAAGGACACTACCTCTCATACTTGAGTACATTTAAAAAAATAAAAAATAAATAATAAAAAAAAAAAAAAAAACAACAACAACAATGAAGATCCTCAACCACACAGCCTCTACTTTAACTGCTTCTGTAATTAGATACATGGTTACTCAATTATTGGTAAAACCAGCAATCCATAGTCTACAGCCACCAGTGTTTATTCAGATAACCATTTTCTATAAAGCAGCTGGAAAGTCAATCAAAGAGATCACTTGAAAAAATCAAGAGAGTTTCCATCGTGCTCTATATGATGTGATACTTAATGCAACATACCTGCAAAAGGAGGAATGTAACACTAGTGCAGAAACAAACTCCTGCCCATCTTGGCAAACCCATGTTGGACTTACTCTGCCCTGAGACCTGCAGGGACTAGAGAGCTGTGCAGGTGGAAGGGGAGCAGGCATTGAGGGGCAGCCTCCTCATCACCTGCTGTGTGCTCTGCCACCCACCTCGACCTGACACTGCTACCAGGGTGGTGGCAACCAGATCCTGGGCTGCATCAGG